GCCCGGCTATGGCCGCCAGCGCCCTGTGTACAGGCAGCGCCCTACCGCCTAGCGCCTGCCTGTCTCTCACCTCAGCCTAGAGCAGCGCAGCAGCTCGCATTCGCGCAGCGTGCCGGCATTGCCCGCAATGGCCAAGATCCCTGCCCACTCGCCCTCTCTGCCTACATGCCAGTGTTGCGTGTGGGCGGCCTCCCTTGAGCCTGCGCCTGGGCCCCAGTACCTGCACCCAGGCCCAATGTGGTTGGGCCCCACGCAGTACAGTTGTGCCTCTTTCATTCAGGCCTGCGTCCAGATTCAGGCAGTGGACCGATTTCCCATTGGCATTTTCGGCCTCTATTTCCAGTATGCAATGTCGGCCTCACGTTTATGTGTCCAGGGCCTAACCAACTCGCAAAGGCCCTGGTCCTTCTGCATTTGAAGAGATCCGGAACTCGGTGCACTCCAACCAACTGGCGTGCTTCAACTGTATGGACCCAACTTCGTGAAATGTTTGCACAGAGCGCTCTTGTTGATTTGCTGGCTCGCCTTCACTTAGGGCGGACACTAGGCTTGCTGGGGCCTTAGCCCAGAACATGTACATCATGGCAAGGCCCCTTCTTGAGGGCTCAATCCTCACATTCCATCCCCCTTAGCTTCGAAAGTCCGCTGAGATGCTTACTTCGCAGGTGCCTTCCCTTTTAACATTCTCTCATACTCTGCCACCACTTGAGGAGCTGTGTCAATCAGTTCCTCCCTCGTGAACCATCGATCTTCCTTTGGATCTGTATGATGCCTGAATCTGACGTGATACTCCCACTTGGGTTTTGGAGGTCTTCCTCTACCCAATGGCTTCTGAACAGGCAGATCTCTGTGATCCACAATATCGTCGATGTCCACTTGACCATCCATGGTTGGGGGTGCAAGCTTTGAGGCATGAAAGACAGGGTGAGTGCGTAGGTGTCCGGGGATACGGATAACATAGGTAGGACCATCCATCTCATCCCCCATTATATCCAGGACTTCCCAGGGACCAAAATACTAAGGCATTAGTTTCTAGATATACCGAATTCCGTAGCCTTGACCCAGACACGTTCCCCTACCTGAAATGAGGACTGCCAACGGTGTTTGTTCTCAGAAGCAATCATTGCTTGCTGGGATTTCCTGATGTGCACAACAGCTTGCTGCAGCAACTTCTCATATTGCACACCATACTCAAGTGTGCCCGGAGTTGCAGAGGATCGGTTTTCGGGTAGGAGGAAGTCTAGAGCTGATCTAGGCTTCCATCCCAAGTGCAGTTGATTAGGACTGACGCCAGTACTGCTGTGTACAGCGTTGTTGTAAAGGCTGGCGATGAGAAGCAACTTCTCATCCCAATCATCCTGGCTAGGCTTGATGTAATGCCTCAGCAAGTGTTGTACAACTAGGTTCATCTGTTCGGCTTGCCCATTGGCTTCGGGATGATTCCCTGAAGTCATTTGAAGTTGACTGCCCATCTGCTCAGCAGTCTTCTTCCACAGCTCACTTGTGAATCGGACATCTCTGTCACTAACGATTGACTTTGGTAATCCAAAGTCACGCACCCAGTTGTCCATAAACGATGACATGGTCAGTTCTTGCGGTCTCTGGCATGGCAACTAGTCTAGCGTACTTGGTAAATCGATCGATGATGACGAAGATGTGCCTCTTGCCGCTCTTACTGGTCACCAGGGTGTCCATGAAATCCATGGAAACACTCTGTCCTGGACCAGCGGGGATAGGTAAGGGCTTCAGCAACCCAAGTTGTGCTTGAGTTCGCGGCTTGTCCCGCTGACAGACCTGACAGGTGTCTACATACTTCTTTGCGTCATCTAGCATTCCAGGCCACCAAAATCGTTGTACTAGATTAGCACTCGTCTTTTTGTAGCCAAAGTGTCCGGCTGCGTCGTGACATTCTCCTAGAAATAAACTACGCAAACTCTCACTCGATGGAACTACTAACCTTTTACACCCGGCCTTGTCAAGAAAGAGAAGCCCATCCACCATCACAAACTCACTTTCCGTGGCCTTGTATTTTGCCTCAAGTTTGCGTATGATGTCCATCGTGACAGAGTCTTCCTGATAGGCTCCCATCAGCGATTGAGTTACATCCTAAGATACACCAAACTCAGAAACTAGCGCCCCTAGGTAGTCTGCTCTACGAGATAGCGCATCTGCAACCTTGTTGTACTCCCCCTTCAGATACTCAAGCTTGAAGTCATACTGATCTATGACCTCAATCCATCGCTTGAGTGCATCAGAAAGAGCCGGTTGAGTCTTGATCCATTTGAGAGTCCGATGGTCAGTCCTCAAATAGAAGAACCGTCCCAACAGGAAATGTCTCCAATGGACAAGGGCCTTATAAAGAGCATAGAGTTCCCTTTCGTAGGTGGAGTTTGCCAATTTCTTCGATGGCATCTTCTTGCTCATGTACTCAATCGGTCTCAACTTCTTCCCATCTTGTTGAGCCAGCACTGCGCTAATGTCGTATTGGCTTGCGTCAGTGGTCACTATGAATGGCTTCTGAGGATCGGGAACCATGAGAACTTCGTGATTCATAAGTGCATGCTTCAATCGCTTGAAAGCACCCTCGCACTCATCACTCCAGTCCCACGGCGTGTCAAGTCGAGTTAGATCTGTCAAAGGAGAGGCAACTGTAGAATAGTTCTTTACGAAGTTCCTACAGTAGCCGCACATTCCTAAGAAAGATCTGACCTCAGTGACTGTCTGAGGTCGTAGCCAGTCTCGAATACTAGCCACCTTCACATCTTCCGGCCTAATCCCTTCCGCGGATACTTCATGACCCAAGTATAATATCTTAGTGCAACCAAACTCACACTTCTCTAGGTTGACCTTATACTTGTGCTGTCGCAGAAGTGAAAGTACAGTCTCAACGTGCTGTGCATGCTCCTCAGCAGACTTACTAAAGATCAGAATGTCGTCAAGGTAAACCACGACAAACTTGTCTAAATGGTCATGGAAGATCCGATTCATGGCGTGCTGGAATGTTCCTGGCGCATTGCAAAGGCCAAAGGGCATCACTACAAACTCATACAGACCATATCGAGTCTGAAAAGTTGTCTTGTGTTGATCCTCAGGTCTTATAGCGATATGATGATAGTCGGATTTCAAGTCTATCTTGCTATAGTACTTGCATCCCTGCACCCTATCCAGTAGGTCGTCTATGCGAGGTAGAGGCTCTGCGTTCTTCACTGTGATGGCATTGAGGCGTCTATAGTAAATGCACATCCTCAATGTACCCCCCTTCTTCGGTACGAATAGCACTGGAGATCCGCAGGGGGAAGTACTTGGCCGGATCCATCCCTTTTCTGTCAGCTCTTTCAGTTGTCGCCGAAGTTCATCCAACTCGGCCGGAGCCATCCTATAGATCCTTCCCTTTGTGATTTTACTCCCTGGAATAATTTCTATGGCGTGGACAACCTCCCTTTCTATGACTCATGTCGGCTCCTTGAACAGATCAGGGAACTTAGCAACGACGTGTTCTATCTCTGGGGGTGTTTTAACGGCCTCCCCTTTCTCAGAGACATACACTAGGTACATACCCTCCTCTTGGTTTTGTTTGTAATAATTACGGAACGCTGATGCACACAAGCAGCCATAGGTATCTATTATGCTACTGGCTTTGAACTTAGTCAATCTGACTGTTCTTCCACTAGGCAACTTATGCTTTAGCACCTTCTTGTCCCAGTCAAACTGGGGTTTGGCGACCTCAAGGTAGTACATTCCTAACAACATGTCGAATGGTAAGTCGCCGCTAACAAGGAACGAAATCTTTTGTTTAGGTTCCCCTCCTCCATAGGAGAAGGTGCAGACTACATCCTTGATATAGTCTGTGACTATCATGCGCTCCTTATTGGCCAAAGTAGATGCTACCGGTCTACTAAGGTGCTGTACCCGGTCTTGTAGGTGCAACCTTTCCAAACAGTTGCGACTTATGTAATTCCGCGTGGAGCCAATGTCTATGAAGGCACCACATTTGCGACCTCCTACATCAACTTCCACCACGAAATCTTCCCCTCTAGGACCTTTCCTTAGTGCCATCCAAGATTCACGAGGGTCCTTGTTTGACCACTCGCTTTCCAGATCTTCTAAGGCTTCAGACACATCCAACGTACAGAGCATTGTTTGGTCTGGATAAGTCTACGGGGTGACTAAAGAGTCATTAGCTATGGCCATCTCATGAAGTGGGGAGGGTATCTGGCCCACTTCACCATGAGTAGAAGCAGCTAAAACTTCCACCGGCCTTACGTGTTTCCCGAGCTAGAAGCCTGGGAAGAAGATGCCCCCATCTTAGGAGGTATCTTCTGCGTGACCTTTGCGTTCTGGCACTTGTACTGGTGTGTCCGTATTCACCACAGTTACTCGGCGGTCCCGCCACACTTCTTGATCAAGACCTGCCTTGACCCAATCAGCAACTTTGGTCTGATTGGAGGCGGCCTTCCCTTGACTCTTTGGTTGGCCCTTCACTCGGCCACCAGCCTTAGCCTTAACTACTGCGGCGAGGGTGCTACCCTCAGCGACCTCCTCGCCGTCGTACTTTGAAACGTCCAGTAGGTCTGTGAGCTCATCAATTTCTGTTTGAGTCCCATCCGACTCAACCATCATCAATTTAGCCCCCTTCTTCTTCCATTCCTGCGGACTCTTCTTCTTCCTCGCGTCATTCTGAGTAGGTTGAGCATTCCCTAGAGTGGCCTCTAAGTCTAAGGTTTTTCTAGACAATGTTTCAAACGAGTGATACTTGAGGCGAGCCTCGCTGGCCAGCAAGTTCCTGAGGTTCTCTGGGAGACATCTTACAAATGTGGTCAACAGGAACTGGTTGTCGTAGTTGATGCCCGGGACGACGATGAGACTTTCCACGGTAGTCGTAAGCTCTCTGACTGACTTAAACTTTCTCTGGTCTAGTCTATGCATCGCATCAGTGGCCATTTGCGCCTGTTGTGGATTGTGCCGTCGAGATTCTACCATCTCCATGAACTGGTCTAACGTAATAGTCTTTGCCCAGTCCGCCATGCGTCGTCCGTACCCAGCCTTTGCAGCTAAACCATCTAGCCATTTGGCTTCCTTACCCTCGAGGTAAGATGCAGCAGTAATCACCTCCTCCTCCTGCAAGGTCCTCTTCGCCTTCACCCAAACCGGGACTGTTCTTAACCAAGTGTTGAGTTCTTCATTCTTCTTCTCACCTGAGAAGGCAAGAGGTGGTTTCATAGGGGTCTTAGGGTACCATTGACCTTGCGGCTGTCCCTGTAGAGCAACAGGTTGTTGCGGTGGTGTAGCTACCATCGCTGACCCAGAAGACGAAGAAGCAACAGTCTGTGGGGCTGCTGCAGACGTGCCACTTGGTTGTGTGCCAGCTTGTATAGGAAAGGGGCCTGACATCGCCGTTAACGGCAACGACGACTGTGCTGCTGGCCTATATCCTGGCCTTTGCAAAAGATCCAAAATCTGATCTAGAGAGTTCTGCATAAAGTCCAATCTGCTGTCCACGTGCGCATGCAACGACAACATATTGTTCTTCAATACCTTCAGTTGGTCAGACATTGCTGACTCATCCAAACCCTCTAATGCAGCCTTGTCTGCCTCTAACGTATCAAGCCTGGCTGTTCTATTTTTAATCTCTCTTTCTCTGTCGGTAGCTTGTTTCAGTTCCCTCTCTAACCGTTTGTGGATCCTTTTGACCTGTTGGAGCTCTAGAAGCTCCCTACCGCGTGGGGTCAATGGGCTTAACTGCGGGCCCGCCATTTGACTTGTGGACCGACCAGAACTTACTGCCCCGGAAGTGCCCGAGGGCCCAATGGGCATTCCCAAATGGGTCCCAGACGAGGATGCAAACGAGGACGCAGCAGATGACGCAGTCGAGGCTCCGCCATTTGCCATTGCTGCCGCTCTGGCTGCTGCTGCCTGCTCTCTAGCTGCTGCGTTTGCTGCTGCCAACGCCTGACTTGCAGCTAGTGCTGTTTCCTGGGCTGCTGCTAGAGCACGGGCTCTGCGTTCGGCACGAAGCCGTCTTTCGTCTTCCGGTTGTAAGGCCTGAAACACATGCGGGACCCTAAGTGCCTCCGAACGTGTAAGTCTCACGTCGTCAACTCTACCCTCCTCGGTGTCTGACCCGCTCATTAGTTAGGCAAACACTATCTGCACTACAACCCCCTGCTGGAGTCCTACCGCAGCATGTGTCTGACCGGCACCTAATTTTCTAAAAATAATTGTGTCCGACAAGTCCCCTACTTTACCGAATCAAGTGGCAGCTGACAACATTCACAACAGATTGTCAACATGGTATTTGTTCTATATTAATTAGTTCACTTACAACAGCATTAGATAGAACTGGCTATGGTAGTATACAACAGTCCTACTTTAATCTGTCTGTGAGGTGTTAGCAGTTGTCAACCAACTAATCAATAATAAAACAAAACCATGTTGCAGATGTATGATCAGTGGGTATGGTTGTGTATCCAGTTGAGCATCAATTAGAACCTACCCTCCCCTCAATCCAACATACCGATAAGCATCATTGAGCAGCGGTGTCTTCGTGTGCAATGTCGGCCCACCCCTGTGCCCAAGTCGTTGCCGAGCAAGCCAGCCAGTCCACTCTTATTTACCCTCGTACGAAACGAGCCTTCCTACCCGGGTTGATCTGGCTGATCAGGAGGGATTTAAGGAGAGCCCCCATCTCCTCAGGAATTATTTAACGTCGCACACAGGACGACGATCACAGTCAGTATCAACACCGAGTCCCCAACCAGAAATGTTTATAGACGGTCTGGTAAGCGTCTCATAAAAGGCTGGCACACCTGGCAGGACTTCTACAGCACAGCAAAGTGCCAAAATGGACAGCAGCCATCGTATGCGTGACCTACTCCCATTGGGTTGGCATCGTGACCGTGACCCAGTGCTTCGACCAGGGCCCTTCAGAGGTACCGCCCTTTCTCCTTCTTGATGCTTCCGGGAAGATTGTCGTCTCTCAAGGTAGCGCGCTCACGACACCTCACCAAAAGAGAGGACTCTCAAGTTGGACTCACTTCCTCGCGGTAAGAAGAGATTGAGAGAGTAGATAAGGTAAGGGAACAACGTACCTGAAGATAGCTGCCCCCAACCACAGATTTCTCACCAATTGAGCTGAGTGTGCATTTGATGACCGGTCTTGGCCTCGGTACCACCCACAACGCAATGCAGTGCCACCTCAGCCTAATGCCACATCAGCATGCTCTCATCACCAATCATACATTCCGCCCGTCACCACGGCAATCAATGCCGTCTTAGCCTTTTGGCGCACACCTCTCTACCCAGGCTCTGCGCCTAACATGGCCTGACGTCACAAGAACCAACTGCGAAGAAGCATCGCCAACGCACCAAGTCTGTATAACGCCAGCGCACCAAGGTAAGTGGCGAATCAAACCAGCTCTGATACCAAAATGCAAGGAACATGAATATGGACGAAGCACAGAAATCCAGATTGCAAAATCACACTGAAGTCCAAGTAGTCAAAGCAAGAGCAGATAGCACAATGGAACCGAGTAACCATCCATTTGAGAACGATACAGAAGAATCGTGAGTCAATGTCCAAGC